ATAGGATATATATTCTAAAAGCATATAAGTCTTCACCAATATATTTTTTATAAAATAAACTAAACAAAATTTTAGTATTTTTTTAAATTTAATATTGAATCATTTTTGAAGTGTTATCTCCTACATGATTTCTTTGATTTGAATTATTACATTTTATTATTAATTTATTTATAAATATATATATATATATATATATATATATATTTTATTGTTATTATTACACATAATTAATTTTGTTTTCATCTTGCGTATTTATATATATATTGTAATTGAAATTCAAGTTTTTTTCAGTGTATTTCTACTTTCTTTTATTAACAATTTCTGCAAAAGTTTTTAGCGAGGCAAATACGGGCAAAAGAAAGCAACAAACAAATCAGGAAAGAAAATAAATTGTTTGGGAATTCCATTTTTTTTATAAAAATTTTTATATAATATTGAAATGAATTTTGTGTCTATAGATAATAGAATTTTGTATGGAAATAATATAAGGGAAGATATCACAGAAGTAATAAAGAGTTACGTTTTTGGTTGAAATTGTTAGTTGTGGCGACAAATATTTTGTTAGAAAAATTAAAATTTAAATAATTTTTGAATGACCAATTAAAACATATAAGTATAAAAAATTACATAATTATCATGTATTGTATTGAAAATTTATTTAATTTATCAAACCAAAAATAAGTCAAATGCGTTCACAGTTGCTTAAAGGTCAATTAGCACAGTTCATACTGAAGCAACATTTAATAATTGATGTCCTACATCTGCAAAGGTTTCATCTAGAAAACGGACAGTAAAAGCTAAGGATTGCTGGTTCAAATTCAATAAGTTTACACTTAAATAGTTATACTCAGTTCTGAACTCATTTTGTAATATGTTATGATTATATCCCTGGTAAGTATCATCGCTTATGAAGAGAATCTGGTCAGATTATTTCGTAAAGTATATAACATAATAATCATTCATTTTCAGGAACTGGATTTGTCTTTGAATGCGATAGCTTCATGTTAAGTGAATGGCATACGTTCATCTCAACTACGGTTTACAACACTAAGTCCATTTTTGAAGTTGTTACATACACCTGAATAAAATCGATTGCCTGAAAGTATTTAGAACATTGTTATATTTAATATTTTTTATTAACATTTTTATATTAATATTTAAAACAAAAAACAACTAAATGACTTCAAATAACTTTATCAGTATTAAAATAGTCCGTGTTTGTGGCTGAAGGCATTTATTAGTGATTTAATTCGTATTCGTAAATTGAACGATATATTGAAAAATGAAGTGAGAGCTATGAACATAGCCCAAAATTCAAGGTGTCACATGATGACATACCTATGTCTTATTACACATCAAGTGTAAAGGATATCACGCTTAGCACGCTAATATAAACGTATGTAAGCTTATGATACGGAAAACTTTTATTCTCAGAAAAACAGTGGATGAAGCATAGAAATTGGGTGGCAAGATTGATTAAATATTTTGATAAACAGTAGGTCGATCATTACAATAGTTTCTCAGATGAACATATGGTTAAATAAAAAACACAGAGAAATAAATTTCAATTAATTGAATTGCTAAGTGAAAAGGGATGTATTAAAGAATGTTTGTTTAAATATAAATATTAAAACATCCCTTTTTTTATGCTTTGAGCTGAAAAGAGTGAATTTGCAGTGCACTAATAAATATTTCAAGTTTGATACAAGCAATGATTGACTTGCTTGAGAAGTGAAACGCAGTTCATAAGTAATATCTAAAGTAATATCTAAACTTAGAACATTACAATATGTTCGTAAAGCAGATAATCAAATCGAATGATAAGGAATAATGCTGAGGAAAAACTTATAGATTGTGACTCAATACTTAAGATGGTTTATCATCCGGCTGGAGATGATGCTAGCAGTATCGAAGATGTTAAATGTCGCTTTACATAATATAATTTTTTATATATAGTAAAAAAAATATATTGTATTTTTAAATTATGTAAAATTAAGCGAATTAAGCGAATGTGTAATCTATTACATTTTAAAATTTGTTCAATTTATTAAAATAAATTTAAGTGTAAGCAAATATTTTCTTGAAATGTATATTCCAAAATTTAGCATAAAAAATCTTTTTTTTGCAGTATTTTATTCTCCCGCGGCTTTAAATATTTCTGGAACAATATATTCAAATATTCCATAATACAAAATTATAGCGTGAATTTTATTTTTATATGGCCGATACATATATTGAGGCACATATATTAACCACAAATTCGTTGTTTAATTTTTGAACGACCTTTGCAGCAATGCCGTTGCTTTTGCTAATTCCAACTTAATTTAGTTAATTTTTTATTGGCGCCTTCAGGTTGTTAATTATTTTTTATTTCTGCAGGTAAAAGCAGAAATGGAGCGAACAAACTGTAAAGTGTCTCGAGACTTTTTTGTTGGCTTTTGTATTTTGAAAAATTAATTTGCATAAAAAGTTTGGCTCTGAAAGCGAAAGAAAAAGTAGAGAAAGAATCATAGGAAATATAAACAAAACTAGAAAAAAATTATTTTAATTAATCACTAATCAGTAATTCGCCATGTAAAGTTAAAAAACGTCATAAATTTTTGAATATCTGGGAATTCCTAACTCTTAGCATACAAGAATTTTATAAAAAATGGTTTTCGAGAAAATGTTAATTTCTTTTGTTTCACGTTGTCTCCAGCAATAAGAAGAACACAGTTTTGGGAACAAAACCAAACGAACCGGATATTTTAGTAATAAAACAACATATTTTGCTATTTTCTTCTCATATAAAGTAGTATTCTAATTTAAATATGGGTAAGCTGTTGTATATTTAATATGCTTATGATTCTGAATTTTTTTCTAATTTATGCAGGTCATTCCTGGCTACCACTTTTACGCTTCAGCTTAGAACTTCGAAAACAATCATTGACGTCAATTAATTATTTCATGCATTTTTTAAGGTAATTAACGAGTAATTTTTGCACTTTAATTAGGTTTTTTTCAAACAAATCTTTAAGATATATTACATTATTATTTTGTAAGTTGTTTCTTTCCTTATGAACTTCAGTAGACTTTCATTTTAATGGGTTTTATGCACTTTTTTTAATAACTTGACATTTTTTTGATATTTGCTGCGCATTTAGTTAATGTTTTTGTTTTGTTACTGTCAATATAACTTTCTTTATCGGAATTTCACAAAATGATTTTGGGTTATTTCAAGGTTAACGTTTTACTTTTACCAGGTTAATAACTTCTCTTTGACGCCACATTATAATGAATATATTATTTTCAGATACCATAACTCATACATTATATCATGAATTTAGTGAAATGTTAGTGATTCATTTATTGTTACTTTTAAACAATGAAAAATACGCAAATAGGAATGAAATCTGCGAATGAAATTCTATTCTAATGCAAATGATTTAGGCTTACGTTCATACAAGCTATGACGATAGTATTAGGAATTTATTAAAAAAATATTTATATAAAAAAAATTATTTTAAGACTTACAGTTATAATATTTTTAGTGTATAATGTAATAAAACTCAGCAATAATAATGACAAAAAATGCTTTAAGAAAAGTTTTCAAATAAAATTTTTAATATGCAAAACATTTTGGTTACTCATACGCACTGAGGTGCCATCAACAATTTAATTATTCGATATAAAATGTAAAGAAATCTTAAATAATATTTAATTATTACTATTACAGAATTCAATAAAAAGTATTAATCAATTTTTGGTTTTTTTAAATAATAAATTAATCTGTTATTTGAAGTAAGTTTGAAGTATATATTATATAAACTAAAAGACGAAGAAGCATTAATATAAGTTGCTCTTCTGTACTAAATTGATGAAGTAATATTGTTTCTGAATTATGAAAAAATTAAAGAAATGCTGACATTATTAACATTATTAATTATTTATTCTAAAGTTTTTATTAATTTAATGTCTTTCTGTTTATTTTGTGTATTTTAAATAAATATATATGTGGCTGTTGTCGATATGTAAACTGAGTAAGCTCAGTTACAATTTGAATGATATTGACAACATCAAATTTGTAAAATTAGATAGAAAAATATTTTCTTCTGATAAGTTTCAACTTTCTG